TGAATGTAAATAGTTTCAGCAACTATTAAGCAAGAAGAAAATGATCTATCAATTTACTGTTGCAAAAATAATTTCCAGTGATTTCCATGGGATATAAAATAATTTTCATAGGATGCATATGGGTATTGCTGCCTTAGTTACTTCATTTGTTTCTACCCCGAGGTAGTTTTAAAAAGGTCAACGACTGTAGTTATATTTTAAAAGCTATTTCATACCTATGAGCAGAGTTTTCAGAATGCACTGTAACTTTTCTTTCTATCCAAAAGGTACTTTATCATTATCAATGGTATAGAATATAAAGAAGCCTAGGTTACAATGATTTCCTTGGTAAATATAGCAGTGACAAAACCAATGGGAAGAAAATGAATATACATTGAGATTTCTCCAAAGTCTCCTTAGTAGATTTACAGTAGTAAAATAAATAAACATTTTTCACAATTTTAAGATATTTTTGTTAAGAAATTGTGGGACAGGCCGTTTGCATGTGCCTTAGGTAGTTATTTTTAATTTCAAAATTAACCCACACACATTTCATGGAGGAAATATAGAGCCTTCCAGCCTATTAGCCTTCTCCGTGCGAGACTACTGAAGCCAACAGCACAGGAGCTATGGTGCAAACTTGCTAATACCAGATGCCAGTTCTGAGTAACCACTGAGTTGAGAAAATAATGATGTACCACTGCACTGCCAAGTCGCCATCAAGTCCTTTAATGAATCTTTGCAGAGACAATAACTCAAACTGGATATTCATCCAGCTAGTATCTGCAGAGGGAATAAACTGCCCAGCAATCGCTCCCAACATATTCATATTTTAATACTAAAATGCCAATATAAAAGCGAGGGTATGATGTTATTAATGGTAGTGGTGGACACAGGGGCAGAACAGAACAATTGGTAACACATCAGCTTCTGAATATAAAGCACAGATTAAGGACTAAAGACAAGTACCACTGGCCTATATTTCATGTTCTAATTTGAGACACACCTGGGCCCTAGAAAATTGGCAATACTTCATGTCCTAAAAGTTTCTCTGGGATGGAGCATGGCTCAAGTGGTAGAGTATCTGTCTAGTGAGTTCAAAACCCAGTATTCCCAAATAAATTAAAAAGTAAACAAACAAATAAAAACAATTAAAAATGAAATGTCTTTAAAAAAAAGGTTTTTCTGTATATGGACTCTCTTCCCTGACAATGCTGATCGTAAGAGTTTTACAACTCTCATTTGTCCTAACACTTTGGATAGTTCTGTAACTATTGGTTTATTTAAATAACCTTGATTTTTGAAGATAATAATGTACTCCACAAAGAACAAAGTCTTTTGGAGATTTTTTTAAATGTTACAATTTCAAATATATCTGAACTTTTCCATCACAATGTTGCTTAATTTTCATTTCTTCTTTGAAATACTTAGCATTGGCTCATACTCATGAGAATATATTTGTATTTGTCTAGTACAGAAAACATGCTACCATGTGACATTGACATATTTAATGATGCTGAAGTGAACTTACAATCATATCAGCAGTGTCTCCTCATCTCTCATTGTTTTCCCTCCACCAGGAGACCTCTGCATTAGAGTTAACTGGTATCACCTCTCGTTCTTTTTTTTTAAATATTAATTTACTTTATTATTATAGAGGTGATGTACAGAGGGACTACAATGATACAAATCAGGTAATGAGCGTCTTCCATTCCCTCATTCTCTCCCAGTCCCTCCCTCCCACCTCCACCCATGTGTTGTACAGTTCACGTTCATCAGTGTCCCATGAGCTCCACTGCTGTACTTTTTTACCTTTTTACCCTTGAGATCTGTGCATCCTCCCCCCCCCCATGTTAATTGCCGCTCTATTCACAATAGCCAAGATATGGAAACAGCCTACATCCCCCCAAATAGATGAGAAGATAAAAAAATCTGTGATTCTTATATACAATGGAATTTTATATAGCCATTAGAAAGAATAAAATAATGACATTTGCAGAGAAATGGTTGGAACTAGAACAAATCATGTCAAGTGAGGTAAGTCAAGACCAGAGAGATGTATCTCTCTGATATGCAGAAGTTAGATCTAAAATATACTTGGATTTGACAAATTATACAGGATTCTAGATACTCACACACAGTGAGACCAGAAGAGGATAGTCTTCGGAGGAGAAACACAAAAGCTCAATGCCTAAGTGCCTCTTCATATTATACAAAATAACACAATACTGTCATTCTTTACAGTGAATAACAATTACTGGAACAATTAAGTTCCCTGAAAACTCTTCAGTGATTTAGGATGGAAACTTCACTAAAAGGCTTCACACGAAATTAAGGTGACTGCACCTCCCCTTTAGACTAAGAACACAACGAATTATGGGCACCTGGCATTGGATTATTTGGCCCCCATATATTATAGGAAACTATCTCCTAGATTTGGATAACTTGCTTTACCTTCCTCATAACTGAGGTAAATAAAAGTCCTGAATTTGCCTTCTATTATTAGTTAGAATAAACAAGTCTTGGAGAATTTGAGATCAAAAGCTCTGTGAGCCAAAAGGAACAAGTATTGTCTTTCTTCCATGTTTTAAACCCAACAACCATAAATCATCAAACATCAAATGAAATATCCACTGGGGTGTGTGTGTGTGTGTGTGTGTGTGTGTGTGTGTGTGTGTGTGTGTGTGTGTGTGTGTGTGTGTGTGTGTGTGCCAGTCTAGGTACTTGAACTCAGGGCTTGGGCACTGTCTCCTGAGTTTCTTGTGCACAAGGATAGCACGCTACCACTTCAGCTATAGCTCCACTTGCAGCCTCCCCTTTATTTGATAGTTTATGGGGGATAAGAGTTGCATGGACTTTCTTGCCTAGTCTGGCTTTGAACTGAGATCCTCAGATTGTAGCCTCCTGAGTAGCTAGGATTATAGATATGAGCCACCAGTGCCTGGCTTAAAATTTTTGTTTTCAATTTTTCAAGTCTAAAGGCTCACATTAATTTTTGTCCATAATAATGATAACTACCGAGTCAAATTACTTACAAAGCCTCATCATTAAGAGTATGACTTGTCTACATAGATGCCACAAGATATTTAAATTCGATCAGTCTACTTCAAGGAAAAATATTGCTTGGTAGTAGACACAGATGTTATTCAAGACCAAGGAGGTTGGCCTTGAAGTCTAAAACATAGTGACTGTGCTTCAACTTCTGATACAACATGTCTAACAGGCACTTCTCCCTGGATTTCCAAGGTAACACTATATTATAGCAAGGGTTAGTTAAAGAGAAAATCTTTGAAGAGCCAGCATGGGTAGAAAAGGCCATCTGTGTCAAAAGTGGTTCCCATTAGTTCCCAAGCCCTGGGAAACCAAGAGTCTTTCCAGAATAATTGTCCTTGTAAGTCACTGGACTGTAGGGACTGCTAGACCACTGGTTGCCCCAGCACTGTGGAAAGTGAAGGTGCAAGCTCATTACTTCAGCACTAGTTCAGGAACCTGGACTTCAACAGACTCATGTTGCAAATAATCCTTGGTTCGATGAAAACATGTCTCTATTGAGTTCTATTGGAACCCATCTTGTTACTGATAATTCAAGTCTGGTGAATGATTCATCTGATACCTATTGTCAGATTTGTTCTTTAATGGGGAGCCGGTTTATTCAAAAGATTTTACATAGAGGTAATTGTGAAGCTATTCCATTAAACAGGGATGCAACTGTTGTTTGGCTGGACTATTTTTTGCTTGATCTAAGGATGATATCCTTGTTAATGGATGTCTAAGATGAGTGTCAAGTTTTGGTAGACAACTAAAATATTAGCCTGACACAACCAGAAAGTGATAGTTAGTTGGTTCCATTGTCATACAGACTAAGAATGAAGTTAACTGGAGGCTTTGGTCAGACAGTAAGTTCCTTCGAATAGCTTTTAATGGGATAGGAAGCCAAATGTTAAGATTTACTTAAGGCACTGAGACTTTTCAAGCTTTAATAATATGTTTGGAATCAAGAACAATTTCTTTAAGATGATGTAGAAAAGATATTATTTCTTAAGACAAGACTTTAAAAGATAATAATAATTAGCTAACAGTAATAACAAAGGCAAGCACTTTAGAATAAATAATAACATGAGAGAAAAAAATGGAATAGAGAATAGAACCAAGAGTTTGGAAGCAGAAGATACTTATTTGCTTTACTGTTCAGTTTACAAATACCTCCCCCAATCACTAGAAAGTAAAAGCTAAAAATTCTCTTACAGGTTAATTTGTCTCTGTCATTTTTAAAAAGAAGCATTTATAATGTTAAATAGAATTCAGACACATGTTTATTTTACATTTCCTTTTCCCTTGTTCCTTTATTGATGCCTTTAGAAAATAGCAGAAGTAAAAATGAAGTGAGGATGGTATCTATATCATTTATGCAGATTTAGTTGATCTCTTTGGCCTTGAAAACATAGCAACATATGTTGGCCAGCATTTATAGAAAATCTGTGCCAAGTATATGAATAAATTAAAGGCAATATGAAATTGGACACCAAGTTGTAATTTTGGTGTACAGACATTTATTTATGAAGAGCAAAAAAAAATCTCTTAAGTATGGGTTTGTGCATGTAGTTGAGGAATAAAGACAAAGAAATATGAGATAGAAAATGAAAAAAAGTGATCATTTAAATCTTCCCAGTAAATATGAGCAAAGATCAGTAAGAGAGAGTATTTTTCTAACACATATATATCATAAAATGACAAGATTTCCTAAAATGGAAACCCCCCAAATTCTTGGAAGTTGTTATTGTTTCGCAAATACAGAACATCCTGAGAATCTTTTCTTCACGTCTTACTTAGGTCTTAATTCCTCTACTGTAAAACTTCAAAAGGTAATGATCCTTTGAGATGCAAATATTTTAAACACAAGGTATTCCTGTAAATTGTTATCAGATGTTCAAACAGTCATCAAGAAATAAATTACCCATTCACAACAAAATTTCAGTTAGCAAAGGTTGAATAGCTAAGGTGTCAGTAAGAGATCTACTTACATTAATAAGTTCCACTTCCCAGATTTTTTTCAATAGGTCCATCGACGTGTAGCCATTAATTAGAAAGGCTTTGGTGTAATCACCCAGCTCAATGGAATCCAGCCACTCAGCTACGGAGGTGGGATGATACCCATCATGGCCAATTGGTCTCATCTGTAATTAAGAAAATCATAATGAGGATTAATTTAAACTGTTTGCCTATGTTTCCCTAACAGAATGCTTTTATCTGAGCTGAAGTGACGGATATTTCTGGATGCAGAAATAAGGAAAAAGAAAATGCTGTATGCCCAATTCTAAATGATTAGTAATTTTCACGCTGAATTAGTTTTCAAAAATACACCCAGAAATTTCCAATTTAGCTGCTAAATTAACTCTGTATTTGAGGGAATGAAATGTGTCAAACTTCTTCTGCAGACCTTATTGACATTCTGTTGGATGGAATTTAAAACGATGTTAGTTGGGAGGTATTTGATGCTGAAGATGCAAGGAAGTACATTTGTAATGTAAAAATGATAACTCTCCTAGGTACATCATCAGTGCGTGTGAAAATACTGCATGGCTTAAACATCCAAGGAGAATTCATGCTTATCAAGACATGCATTGTAGGTATGCAAACATGCTGAGCAACACACTGCTGTGGTAAGCTGGTTAAAAAAAGAGGTTTTTGAGTGTTTTAAGACCACGTGTTTTGCATCAGCTCTACAATATGTCAGACGTGAATAGAGAACTTGCTGGCAGACAGGCTCCTATTTTTTGTCGGCTATATACAGGATTTTTTTTTTTAATAGTTTAGGAGAACAAAGAAGTGTGACAGCGACATAATGTTTCTGAGTTTAAACTGGAATGTGAAAATAATTTAAGCAAGAGGAACTTCTGAGCTTAAAATTTTGCATGGATTTTTCTAGTCTTTTAACCTTTACTTGGAATTTCAGTTGGATTTGGTGTTTGAAGTGATTCACTTCCAAAACGTGTGCTGCTTTTGCTTGCTGGGCCTTAGATGGAGAGCTGCAGTGGGCAGGATGGACGCCCCTCAGCAACCTGGTAGCAGCCTGCATTAAAGTTCCTCATGGCAGCGCTGAACCAGAGCTAACGTGCAGCACAGACGTTCCTCTTCCTCCAGCTTTAAGGAGATAAATGTTAATGGAAATCTATGTGTTTCGGACTTGTGAGCAAAGATTAGCCTGGGCATCAGACATTCAGATTGCAATCTTCAGGGTGTTAAGCTTTCTGTCAATGTGCAGAGCGCTCTCTCTCTCTCCCTCTCTCTCTCTGTTTCTCTCTGTCTCTCTCTCCTTACTTTTTTCATGTTAAAGTTACCTTTTCTGCTTTCCTCTTTTCCACTGTTCCACACCCCAGCCACATCTCCATGTTGAAGTAAAGTTACAGTGCAATCCATTACTTGCACTGCAGTCTAAACTCCCTTCACATTGACAGTTCCACTTTAGTTATTAATTGAATCTTTGTCCACATGACAGTGTTTATTATATAGTAGCTACAAATGTAAATGGTAACTTCAGGCTTTGCAAAATAAAGTTCAGTGGTATGCGCAAATAGCTGAGTGTTATGTATGTGTAAAATTTGAGAACAGAATTCCAAGTGGAGGCTCAAAAGTGTTCACTATCTTTATATTCTGTAGACAATCCCAGAAATATTTGCCAGGAGTTTTAGAGAAGTGGTTGCACTATCCTACACACCCACCCCAGCCCAGGAGCCTGGCTGTCCCAGTGGACATAATAAATAGGTGGAGAAAGGGAAAGAAGGAAGGAAGAGAACACTGGAGTTGAAATGAACAGCCTAGTAGGAAGTTCTTGCTGTTAGCCTACACAAGAAGTTGACCATCTGGAATTAGTCTTGGAGAGCTTTGATGAGTTCATTTGACCCAGTCAGATGTACCTTCCCCCAAAATTGCAGTGGTACCCCAAATACTTGTGCATCTTTTCTTGAGAGAGCACTCAGTGGCCACCTGTCACTGAAATTTTTTTTACTGGTTAGGGTTTAATAAAGGATCAGAAGCACATAAGTAGACAGGAAAAAATAAACCCACTGAAATATAAACGAAGTTTGGTCATCCTTTGTTCTTCTTGTTGCAATACCAGAGAATTTGAAACTACAAAGGAGACTGGGACCCATCCCTTGGGTAAAACCTAAACTTAGTGTAGGTCAGATGCCACAGTTGGAGGGGGAAGGGGATGAAGCTGGGAGTTAAACTGCATCCAAACTGAGTTTTCAATACTTTACATAATGAGAAAGTTAATAGATATGTCTGAGATCAAATTAAGAAATAGCAAAGAGGAAGTTATCTGACTTTAGTTGAAGGCAGTGACTGGAAAAATAATTATATTAGTGTCTCACTGAACACAAACTGCTTAGTAATCTGGTTATACCTCGTAGACAAAACCAATCTTAAAGAAGTGATAGGGAAGGAGATATTTGGCAGGAGGGTGAAAAATAGAAAAGGTTGGTATGCAAGGTGAAACAGGTATGCAGATTTGTGCAGGGAAGTATCCATTCATCTGCATACTCAATACTTATTCAGTGTCTATTCTGATGAATGTTGTGGAAATAGTAGGGAACGGAAGAGTCAGTTTCCCCTTACATGGAAGTTATAACTCTTAATTAAAACTGTGTGAACAGATGACCAATAAATTTATGAAGGCTCTGCATACCTGAGGAGAGGAAACCATTAGAGCCAAATGAAGTTACAAAATTAACTTGACACATATTTAATGATATGCAGAATGGTTACTGTGCTGCACAATAATTTCTTCCAAAGCAACTCTCCCATCTGTTCCTTTATTTCTGTTCCTACTGCCACTACCCTGTTTAGGTTCTTGTTAGCACTTGCAAAAGCTAATGCAAAAACCTTCCACTTGGCCTCCCACCTTTCCTTTAGCTTACATTTTGTTTCTATATTAATCCTCCTAAAACCCAGCCTCTTTTAAGTCTCCTCAACTGAGAGTATATTAATCTCTCATAACTCTGCTATTTGCACCCCCAAGAAATGTGATTAGATCCATGTATGTACCTGAACAGTCATTAAATTGCTAACCACTCCCCAACATGAACTGTGCAAGGCCAAGGTGTATCTGGGCTAATACAATTTTTCCATGTTTGTTATGCTTTGACTTTTATTTCTGGACTTATTTGTCAGGGACTGGTTTCTCATTGTGAGTGTTTAGATACAAATTCCAATAGTTTTTTAGAACACCCTACAGACATCATCAACATAAGTAAAACAAACAAACATCTCTAGCTTAAAAGCTGGTTCTCTCAGTGTCTGTTTTCTTCACTGGTCCATGTACCTCCACCACTTGGCAAAGAAATAAGGTATAGTCATATTTTTTTAAATTAGTGGAGCTGGGGATCAAACTCCTGACCTTATGCATGCAAAGGAAATACAGTTCCACTGGGCTATACCCAAGCCCTGTATAGCTGTTTTTATAGTTCCTAATGAGCCCATACAGAAAAGTGTAATATATATATATAGTATATATATTATATATATATAATGTGTGTATGTGTGTATATATTATACACACATGTCTGTCTGTCTGTCTGTTATTCTTATGTTAGTCCTCTAAGGCTAACAACTACTGGGTAATAAGAAAGAAGTAGACTTATGGAGAAATGCTAAATTTCACCTAAAGCTTGGAGTGAAATTTGGAGCTCAAGAGAGTCCAGTTGGAGTTATCTGAATCACAACTGATTGCAAGTCTCATGAGTAAGAAAAATACACAGTATTTTTTGTTTTCATTGCTGTAAATCACCACATTTTTGGCATATAAGAAAAACTGAATAGAGTTCTTCCTTCTTTCGAAAATCTTGGGAGAATGTCCCTGACAAAACAAGGTTATTAGTCACTTCTGTGTTCCCTCAGGTCCAGCAGAGCCTCTCATGCACAGTCTGTATTTTCTAAATGTTTATTAAGCTATTTAATGAAAACGTGAAGATAAAATGACAAACATTTCAGTGGCTTGGTCTCCATTACGTTTATGTTTGTTATTATCTGTATTTAAGACTCCATGTTATAAAAAATTAGGGTTATTTTATGGCCCAACAGTAGCATTTGTAACATTTAAAACTTCCCTATACCAAGAAGCTAGGTATTATTCTTTTTCCAGGTAGCATGAGTCTTCAAATGATAGGTATTATCAATGCAATGGGCTTGTTTTATAACCCAGAAGTCTCGATAGTGTTGACTATATAAGCATGGGAAAATTGCTTCACCTTTTCTAGGTTTCAGTGTTGCCAGCTTTAAAGTGATACTTTTGGCCAAATGAGTTCAAAGCTCTTTTACATAGTCATCCCTATGTTTTCCAATACCATGATTTGCAAATTTATTTGAAATTAGAATCTGATTTATTGATACAATAAAGAAAAAAAATAAGCCCAATGACCAAACAGAAAGAGGACACATAGACTAAAGGTCAGACTGTCTCCATATCTCTTTCTGTAACTTCCAGCAGCACCTAGAGGTAGTACTGTAACTGTTTTCTCAAGTTAGCAGGAGTATCTGGCAAGACAGGGCTAAGAAGAGGTAGTTCCCGAGCCGCCAGGCCCGTGGTACTGTGGAGGAGCCAGGCACACTCTGTGATCTGAGAGACGTAGGATAGGCAGACAGAAGTGTTTGTAACAGATTTTCACACATCTGTCCAACTAGAGATGAGACATATGAGGTTTTATTTCCTGGTTGCTGTTATGAGAATATGAGCCTATAGCTATTAATGAAAACTTAGCAGGTAACTAAAAAAGGTTCTTTGCTCTGGATGATCTCCTCTCATCCCCTCTCCTCCTCTTATCTCTTTCTCTCCCTTCCCTCCCTCTTCCTTTCTTTCTGGCTTCCCATGGGCCTGGAATATCAGAGCCTGCAGTCCATCTCTGACTATACAGACAAAATGATGCCCCACTGAGATGCCTCTTGAAACTTCATCACACACAAATCTCATGGTGGAATATTGTTAGCATGGCAATTTAGTAAGTTTGAAAGAATATCTGATATTCTGCATTTCTAGGAAACTTACTGATGATACTAATGCTATCAGTCCAGGGACCACTTTGAGTAGCAATGAGTTAGAAGATGACAGACAGACAGAGAGCAAAGACCTTGGATCCTTTCAGAATTGCAGAGTACAGTCAACTGGTAAACCTGGGCT